CTGACATCTTTCCAGCTAGCATGGGATATTTGTGTTGCTTTTACCTCATATATCCTGCATGTCCCTAAAATTTATTCATCCATCTATGTTACATATGCTTGCAATTTTTTATAAGGCTGGAATTGTCTTCAGAGCCGTCAAGAGCAATACTGAAACTGTATTTTGAATCTCATTTTGAGCTAAGAGGGCCTTTGTGATTCCCTGACAGGTTGATGTCCCTCATCATCACCTTTAGTTTTTATCAGTCTTGCTTTCTCATCTCTTTACTCTTTTAAGTTTTTCCAGAACTTCAAGTTATAGCTCTAGATTTTGTTTTAGTCCTTCCCAATAATAATGATCATCATTTAGATTATGACTGTCTGTACTTCAGGCTCAGGCAAAGCATGCAGTTGCCGGGGACAACAGACTGCCAAATTACTTCTGTTGGAGAAGATAGAAATCAGCTGCTTGAACATCCAAATAGCAAATATCTGCTGATGCTACTGAGAAAGGCACTGGTTGAGTGTGGTGGCAGTGGCTGCTGCCAGAGCTGGTACCTTCAAGTAGTACTTTGTCTTTGCTTTCACTGTGCTGATGCCTCGGACACCAGATCATTCTTAATCCTAAAGCCACATGGTCTACACAGCAACTTACATAGAAAAATGGGAATGCTTTATTATCGGTGTTACAAAATTCACCTGGAATTAGCTCTGGTTATGGTTATTTTGTGTTTCACTTTTTCCATCTAAAAAAAGGTTCCTGTTCCTGGCAAGACCACTAATGTCAATGAGATTGCACAGAGGCAATTATATTCAGCCTTAAGGCATACGTCATCAATGTGGCTGCATATGGGTCTTATTAGCATTCAGGACTTCAGATATCTACACGGGAAAAAGACTATCAGGTTTTTAGGATGTCTGCATGAAATTAAAGTCTAAAAAGTGATTAAAATTTCTATTTAATTTTACAGCTAGTTTAATCACTAATAAAAGAAAAGTTATGTTATATTTTGGATTTCATTCAATGTATATTTTACATGGTGTAATTCACTCTGAGAGACAGTAATTTGATGAAAAGAATATGAATTTTAAATGCAAAATCCGTAAGACAGAACTTCTGTGAGCTAAGTTTCCTAGTCTATTAAAGATAACATCACATGGGAAAACAGTAAGACAGCAAACAACTTTACTTTTTCTGTAAGGATTCACAAAAGGTTGTTAGTTATTCTACAGTATCCATTGCTATTATTATATGCTATATTAGAATGCCTAGGGATTCAGAACCTCATGACCTAGGATCATTTTGGAATTAGGAGGTACAGGTATGAAAAGAGAATTACAAAAACCATCAATATATCCATTTACTCAATGCTCTGCCAGTGGATCGTTCCCTTTAGTATATTTGCATTTGTATTATTCATTTAGGATTTAAATTATTCAAGCAATGAAGCTTGCACTTCTTCCTCTGAGAGACTCTTTCAATATCTCTCTGTCTCACCACAGGGCTTCATTCCCTCATATTAAGACACAGTTTTGGTGTGGGCTTTTGCCTTGGGGGTTTACACCATT